AGAGTTATCAGCTGCGACTGGTGGAACAAGTGTGAGACCCCAGCAACAGCGGATTGTAGGTTGAGAATTCCAAAGAGCTTGCTAAACTGACTCACACAAACAGCACCAGCCAGCAGTAAGACACCCTGCCCCCAATCTTATTTTCTTTCCATCTTCAAATTCCTGGGAGGTCTGCCTGCCATCAAACATCTACCACCTCCCCCACCCCATCTACAATTTGAATTTACATATGGAAAAGTTTCTCATTTTCTTTTTCCTCTGAATTTTTGCCACTAAATACTAAGGAGGGTATGACTCTCTTCCTCCTACTTCTTTAAAATTTGGAATTTATTCTTTTAAAACACTCTTTAGTTAGAAGATCTCAATTGCATATTAATTCCCACATAACGTATCAATCCAGCAGGGATTACCGTTCTTAAGTAATCTCATCTGGGCATTAATTAAAAGATCTTATAAAGATTGAGAACTGTTTCTAACTTAAAGGAAACTCTTCAGAATACCTTTTAGATTAAAGAGTAGCTGTAAACATAAACAATATAACATCCTTGCACATTTAGCTATTGACGCACTTATATGGATTTTGCTCTAAATCATGCGACACTTACATTTAGTCTTCATATTCCATGTATTTCCCATTCATACCTCATGGCTAACTGTTCAATTACCAAGACATGAATTGCTCAGGCATCCAAAAACACATAAAAGGCCAACTGTGAAGGGCCGTTGGCCATGGCATTAATAACACTTACACAACTTGTATCTGTTTCTAGCTTTACAGTTATGCCATTTCCTTGCTTTGCTTCCCAAACTCAGTCTTGGGTTTTATTATCTATATTTTAATTAACAAGGTTTCCTTGTAATTTTATGAGCATAATTAAGCCTTTTGAATGGCAATCATTTTGGAAACAAAATGATGAAGTGTTTTAAGATCTTTGTTCCAAAGAGACACATTAGATTAAAAAATGATCATTTTTTTAAAATTACTAAGGTTCTGATGGACATATTAGCATTGCAGGAGCACTTTCTGATTCTTTTTGGGGCACAAAGGAGGCTCTTGTTATATATCTAAACCATATTGCCCAATCCATTAAAAAAACTGTACATTTTGGTAAATGAAGCAATGCTTCTCTCTTGAGTTTCTGTCACAAATTTGCTGAAGCAGTTAGCTCTTATTATATAATGAGCTCTCAAACAAGCAGGAAAATTATGATTTATCAAATTAACTAGCCCCAAATTGGAGAAGCCAATGATATGGGATTTTTTTCCCTTTGCCTTCTGTATTTTGCAATATTGTGATGCAAAGCATGATCCCAACAATGCAAAGCCTTCTAACTATGTGTCAGGGAAATATTCTGAATGTTGCTTCCAAGGACATTTTCATTCATTCTAGCTGAAGGGACACATAAATCCAGAAACCCGTGCTTGAGATCTTTGTTATTTTTCACATAATAAATGAAAAATATGGAGACAACAAGCTCATACAGTTGTCTTTCCATAGAAACATTTCTGATGATTCACCATAAAAAACTTAATAAACCCATTTAACAAGAGTAATAATAGTCAGTGTCTGTGTTAATTATTTCAGAACAAAATAATTCATACAACATATGATCAAACCCCTTCATGGATTACTGCCTTGTCGTGGTAAAGGGTCTTGCGTAGCTCAATGAAGCTATGAGCTATGCCGTGCAGGGCCACCCAAGATGGACACGTCATAGCAGAGAGTTCTGACAAAACGTGATCCACTGGAGAAGGAAAGGGCAACCCACTCCAGTATCTTTGCCATGAAAACCCCATGGACAGTACCAAAAGGCAAAAAGATATGACGCCGGAAGATGAGCCCCTCAGGTCAGAAGGTGTCCAATATGCTACTGGAGAAGAGCAGAGGGCTAGTACTAGTAGTGCCAGAAAGAATGAAGCAACTGGGCCAAAGCTGAAAGGACGCTCAGCTGTGGATGTATCTGGTGGTGAAAGGAAAGACCGATGCTGTAAAGATTTTTTCTCCATAGGAACCTGGAATGTAAGATCCACGAATCAAGACAAGCTGGATGTGGTCAAACAAAAGATGACAAGACTGAACATCAACATCTTAGGAATCAGCGAACTAAAATGGACAGGAATGGGTGAATTTAATTCAGATGACCATCTTGTATACTACTGTGGGCAAGAATCCCTCAGAAGAAATGGAGTAGCCTTCATCATCAATAAAAGAGTAGGAAAAGCAATACTGGGATACAATCCCCAAAATGACAGAATGATCTCAGTTTGAATCTGAACAAGCCATTCAATATCACAGTTATTCAAATCTATGCCCCAAGCACTGATGCTGAAGAGGATGAAATTGACTGGCTCTATGAAGCCCTACAGCATCTTATAGAATTAACACCAAAAATTATGTCCTTATCATCATGGGGGATTGGAATGCTAAAGTAGGAAGCCAAAAGATAATTGGAATAACAGGCAAGTTTGGCCTTGGAGTACAAAATGAAGCAGGGCGCCGGCTCATAGAATTCTGTTAAGATAATACGATGGTCATAACAAACATTCTTTTCCAACAGCCCAAGAGATGACTCTACACATGGATATCACCAGATGGTTAACACAGAAATCAGATTGACTATGTGCTCTGCAGCCAAAGATGGAGAAGCTCTATACAGTCAGTAAAAACAAGACCAGATCATGAGCTTCTCGTTGCAAAATTTAGACTTAAATTGAAGAAAGTAGGGGAAAGCACTAGGCCACTCAGGTATGAACTAAATCATATCTCTGATGAATACACAGTAGAGCTGACAAATAGATTTAAGGAATTAGATCTGATAGACAGAGTGCCTGAAGAACTATGGACGGAGGTTCACAACATTGTACATGAGGTAGCAACTAAAACCATCCCAAAGAAAAAGAAAGGCAAGAAAGCAAAATGTTTGTCTGAGGAAGCTTTGCAAATAGCTGAGGAAAGAAGGGAAGTGAAAGGCAAGGGAGAAAGAGATAGATACACCCAGTTAAATGCAGATTTCCAGAGAATAGCTACTGTAGAAGAGATAAGAATGCATTCTTAAATGAACAATGCAAAGAAATAGAAGAAAACAATAGAATAGGGAGGACCAGAGATCTCTTCAAGAAAATTGGAGATATGAAGGAAATGTTTCATGCAAAGATGGGCATGATAAAGGACCAAAATGGCAGGGACCTAACAGAGGCAGAAGAGATTAAGAAGAGATGGCAAAATTACACAGAAGAACTATACAAGAACGAGCTTAACATCCCTGATAACCATGATGGGGTGGTCACTGACCTCGAGCCAGACATCCTAGAATGTGAAGTCAAATGGGCCTTAGGAAATCTGAGCAACAACAAAGCTAGTGGAGGAGATAGTATTCCAGTTGAGCTATTCAAAATCTTAAAGATGATGCAGTAAAAGTGCACTTTTAAAAGTGCAGTAAAAGTGCCAGCAAATTTGGAAAACTCAACAGTGGCCACAGGTTTGGAAAAGGTCAGTTTACATTCCAATTCCAAAGAAAAGCAATGCCAAAGAATGTTCAAACTATCGCACCATTGCACTCATTTCACATGCTAGTAAGGTTATACTTAAAATCCTACAAGCTAGGCTCCAGCAGTATGTGGATTGAGAACTACCAGAAGTACAGGCAGGATTTTGAAGAGGCATAGGAACTAGAGATCAAATTGCCAACATACGCTCGATCATGGAGAAAGCTAGGGAGTTCCAGAAAAACATCTACTTCTGCTTCATTGACTATGCTAAAGCCTTTGATTGTGAGGATCACAACAAATTGTGGCAAGTTCTTAAAGAGATGGGAGTACCAGACCATCTTATTTGTCTGTTGAGAAACCTATATGTGGGTCAAGAAGCAACAGTGAGAACTGGACATGGAACCACTGATTGGTTCAAAATTGGGAAAGGAGTCCGGCAAGGCTGTATATTGTCGCCCTACCTATTTAAATTATATACAGAGCACATCATGAGAAAGGTGGGTCTAGATGAATCAAAAGTTGGAATTAAGATTGCAGGGAGAAATATCAACAACCTCAGATATGCAGATGATACCACTCTAATGGCAGAAAGCGAAGAAGAACTAAAGAGCACGGCCCCGTTGCGAACCGGTAGTAAAGGTAAGTAGAACCCACCCCTGCAGTGGCTTGTAGTATGTTCATGACATTACTTAGCCATCACTGAAGTGATATGAAGTCATAGGTGTGTAGAATCAATTGTAATAATCCAAAAATGAAAAAAAAAACCCCAATCATCACATCATCATAAGACAAACCATCTCTTTTTGTATTTGCATGCTGGTATTAGATACAAGCATGTAAGCCATATGGTTTGCATTGTGACTTTTGACATACAGTATATTGTCAGTTAAGCCCCTTTGCTCTCCTGCAAATGTCGGTAAATGAAATTTGTTATTTTACCTTTCTTTTAGCTCAGTGATATTTCAATCTAGAGTCTAGAAGATATTATACATCAGTAAAGGGGAAAAAAATTAATCTTCCAACAACTTTTTTCCAGATTTACAAGCAGCTAATTTAACAATCAATGGTGACAACCTCACATGTATTTCTGACTCACTTGTATATAAAAGCAGGAATATTTACATGTATCTTCATGAAGGAAGAAGTTCTACTAAAATACATTTTAATAGGTCTTTAAAACTTAAATAGTATTAAGTTAACATCCCCCTGCTGAAATTAAAAGGGCAAGTTTTAAGTTCCTATGCTGGAACTCAACAATGTATAATTTCTGAAACGTTTTTTTAGCAATCAAATTGCAGATTTTATTCTAAACATGTATGGTTGTTTATGTAAATATCACAATTTCTTTCATCTTTTTCAAGTTGTTAGCTAAGCTCTTAAATACTCCCCATAGTACTTTCACAAGAAGTACCTCTACTCCTAGAGACATTGATTAAAGACAGCTGGTGTGGTGGCACAATACCCATGCCATACTTTGTTTTAACCATTAGGAAAGAATTAAAGTATCCTACCTTGCCAACGTACTGATAATCAGAGCCTGTGTATTCCTCCAGAAGGAAGAACTGATTCCACATCCAGCTTCTTTTGGAACGACTAAGCTCCTTTCTGCTGTTTCTAGATAAATCCAAAACTTTTGGGTTTTCTGGAAAACCAGTAGTTTTTTGGGATAATGGTATAGAATAACTTTGGTGAAGAGGACCAAACCAAAACAGGAGCCAGAAGCAATGATAAGTTCTCATGATGGCAGTACAAAATGATGCTGAAGTGATGATTTTCCCTCAACCTCAAATGGAAGCTAGTTCTCTGTGCTGAAGCCAATCACATTCCTTCTTTGTTCCTTAATGGTTTTTTTTTCCCTTTAAGTCTCGGAGGAATTCTGAAAGAGAAAGAAATGACAATTTATCAAGCATTTAGAAAAGGCTATTTAGCACTCAGTGCAATAGCGGAGATGACAAAAAGGTAGATGCCATTGCTACAAAGAGAATATTATATGGTTCTTAGTTGCAGATTGCCATTTACATAAAGCGAATGCAACATCTCTGTTGAGTAGGAGGAATAATTGTGTAATTTATTATGTTTGCTGTTCTACTTACTTGAAATATATTATTTTTGGCAATTTGATTATGTCTTTTACATGGTTCATGATAACGCTATTTATTTTAACAACAAAAAAAGTTGGTTTTCAGTTGGTGCTAATTGAGAACCATATGGTATAAGTGAAGACTTCCTCCAGATGCATAAACCATGCACTGTATCATTTGTACATTTCTTGATTAGCCATAGATAATGAGGTGGAGCATGGTCTAATCAGTGTACCCTAGGGAGCTATGTGCCTGTTTGTATTAATGAATAGTACTGAAAAAATAATTTAGAACCCTGGGTATTTTGGTGGTTCATTTTTAGCATTTGTCCTGTAGGGTTTTTTAAAAAAATATATTGATTCATCTCCCATCCTTTTAATGATGGACCAATCCATTTCTAGGAAAGGAATTCCATTTTTTTGTGTTATATATTTGAAGAATTTCATTTTTCTCATATCTTGGTAAATTATGTTTTGTTTTATCTGTCACATTCAATTCATACCAGCAGAAGCTAATAATAGGACATAGAATGTGAGGATCAAACTATCTCTTATCTTGAAGGACACCGAATAAATGTACTGTAAAAGAAGAGTGTAATAATACTACTTTCATTTAGAAAAGACCTACATATGCAATATTGCTATGTTTGAGGAGGAAATGGCATGGAAGATAAATGAATCCAACCTTTCATATGATTTGTTGGAAGAAGTGAAACTAGTAAACATAAGGACTTGAAAATGGGACATATTAGTAAATTGTACTAGACAGAAGAAGACCGGAATAACAGCAGTCTTTATCAACTTCCCTCAGACAATTTAACATCAGGTTACCACAGTAAATCTCAGCTTTCCAGACACTTAAAACTTTATTCAGCAATGACTCTCAATATTATTCAACTTGATTCAAGTTATTATGGACTGACTACAAAAACAAAGTAAGAGAAAGGACAGTGTATGAAATTTTTAAAAAGAAAGAAAAGAAAATGGAAAAGGAATAAAAACACCTAGGTCATATATTCGTGGATTTCAAGGAATGGAAGTCATATTTCATTGTCACAGACAAGAAGGAAGACTCAGACACAACAGATGGTTTGCCATTTGCAGAGCAAATAAGGCAAGCCTGTATATAAGGTCTGTGCTTCAGTTTTAAGACTAAGACATTTCCTTCTGCCTTTCTAAGTTAACAGATGCTTGGTCCCTTTCTTTATGGTTGTGGGAAGTAGTTCAACTCTGTTGACATAATGCCTCTCTATTGCTGCCTTGCCAGATTCATCTCTAGCTCACCTCCTTTTCTATTTTCTCCTTCTCCTCTCTGAACTTGCTGTTATTAAGTGCTTCTCACTCTGCCTGCTTTAGGACATAAGTGGCTCCTCTTCCATTTCCATTTCTTCTTGGTAATACCTTCCTCCTTTTATGTCTGTCCACCTAACTGTCCACCTAAGGGGGAGGGATTTCCATTTCTTCTTTGGTTCAAACTGGTAAGAATCTCCCCAGTTTCACGCCTCCCCTTTCAAGACAACAGATAGCAGGAAGGAACGAAATTATTTTCAATTCTTCTACTTTGTCAGGAACACCCCACATTCAGAATTCTTCCTTTCATAATCTTTGGGTGGAATAATATCTATCTCTCCTTAATCATACAACTATATTCCCCCTCGAATAATGTCTATTGCCCCTCCATATCAGAATTGGTAGCAGATTATACGTCTGATTGCATGGTTAGTGGCAGCTTGGTCTTATGCAAGTATTGCAAATTGAACTGTCAAAGCGATATGGTGTGTAAATGTTATCTTTCACCTCCCAAAAATGTTCAGTAACAAGAAATCTGTAGGAGAGGATCAGGCGGAGCCTCAGGAAGGGGTCAAATTTGTCATAAATCACAAGTCCTTGCATGCCCACAAGAGTTCTAAGCCCAGCCCAATTGAATGCTTTTTTATTCCCACTCATTTCCCTTGATTGTTAATAGGTCAGATTTTTGTAGACAGTTTAAACTTGCAATAAATCTTTATACTCATTTGAATTGCTCGAATCTCCTGATTTCCCTGCGCTTGACTAAGCCCTTTCAATGAATCATATACTGTATTTTTTGGAGTATAAGACACACTTTCCCCACTAAAAGAGGCTGAAAATGTAGGTGCGTCTTAAACTCAGAATGTAGCTTTTTCAAAGCTTTTTTTCAGCCCTAACAAGGCACTAGCGAGTGAAGTGATCTTCCTTGCCTGCTCCCTCCGACTCTCAACTGTAAAGCCTTTTTTCAGCCCTAATGAGGTGCTAGCGAGTGAAGCGATCTCCGTGCTTTGCCTGCTTTTCTCATTGCTTCTCTCTCCAAAGATCAGTTGTGCTTTAGAAGCTGTTTTTTATCCCCAAGCAGGGGATAAAAAGTGTGTGTGCTCTCTCAAAACCAGCAAACTAATCTGTTGAAGCTGACCAGACTAAGGACGCTAGCCAGATGAATACCTGGTAGGCAGATTATTTTTTTCCTATTTTCCTCTCCAAAAACTAAGCTGCGTCTTATACTCCAGTGGGTCTTATACTCTGAAAAATACGGTATTTTAGCTTGGCCCTGCCAGGCTAAGATCCAAAAACATGTTCTACTTCAGTTTCTTTTTCTTCTCTCCACCAGTGGAAATGGTGATCTGCAGAAAGTACCTTATAAAGCTATATTATTAACAAATAGAAAAGAGTAAAAAAAAGTTATTCAAAAGTGCTATTGTACTGTTGTACAATATCATGAAAAATTATGCCAAAGAAAAACATGTTGCTTCATTTTCTTATCAGTTGTAACACTGCCTTTTCCAAAAAGGATACTTTACATATTTCCAAAAAACAAATCCTTAAATGTCCAAAATAATATCACGTTTCCATTTTTCAGAAAAAGTCTTCTGACAACCACCCATGCCTCATACAATAATCATTTCTTCAAAGACAGAGTAAAAAAGTTTTGAGGAATAAGTCAGCATCATATGCAAACCTTTAACATTTAAGGATTTCACCGTGAATGCACTGAAAGAATACTAAAACGCTATTGCAAAAAGATATTAATGGTTCCAAAGTCAATAAATTCACATTGTTTTTATTTGTCCGACCTGATGGCTATCCTTTCAAATACATTATTTGGTTAGAAGAATTCTATTTTCCTGCAACAATAAGTCAGATAGCAACCAGCCAAGCTATGAAATTGAGACAGGAGGAGATAAATGCTACCTATTTCTCTTCTGCAGCTTTTGAGGTCCATCAGACAGCATTACAGCTGATGCCTCTGAAGAATTCTGGAAGTTTTATTATCTGAAATTTTAATTTTTATCAGTACAAAATAAAGGACTGGCAATAGTGTCCTGTCCCCCCCCCCCATTACTAAAATGTTTCTGGGCACTGAATCCATTTCAAATCTCATTTGGGTATCTATGGATAAATGTGTCACAGAGAATGGTTGGAAGCTATTGCTTATGGTTAAAGTCCTAGTGCAAAAATAATTCACTTTCAAATATAGATGAATGGTTATGAAAAGTTTGATAGATAATGAAGATGAAAGCAAATCCCTTATATTTTAGACATTGGTATGGCTGCACATGCATTCTATGGATTTAAAAAAATAATAAATGCAATGTATGTGTGTGCATGTGAATACACACAACAATAAAACAAATCTTTTGCAGATTTTATTGTAATTTCCTTGATTGTTGTGAGCCGCCCTGAGTAGGGTGGCATACAAGTTTAATAAATTATTATTATTTCATACTGTTCTGATTTCAGAGGTGAGGACGATTTTGATCCTGTTGGCCTTTCATAAGGCCTTGAAGATCTGGGCCCCCAAATATGGGATGCGTTTCCTGGCTGTAGTGGCATCTATGTTTGCATTTTTTCTCAGCTGCCATAGATATTTAATTTTGTACTCCACTGTAACTGTTTTTAATTGTTTTATGATTGCTGCCCAGAGTCACTTGTTAGTCCTTGACTTACAACGGTTCATTTAGTAATCATTTAAAGTTACAACAGCACTGATTATGATTATTTTTCACACTTATGATTGTTGTGGCATCCCCATGGTCTCATGATAATAATTCAGACTCTTGGCAACTGACTCATATTTATGATGGTTGCAGTGTCCTGGGGTCCTGCAATCATCTTGTGTGACCTTCTGATAAGCAAAATCGATGGGGAAACCAGATTCACTAATAGTCATGTTGCTAATTTAACAATGGCAGAGATTCACTGAGCAACTGTTGTAAGAAGGACTGTAAAATGGAGCTAAACTCACTTAACAAATGTCTCACTTAGCAACAGAAATGTTGGGCTCAGTTATGGTCGTAAGTCAAGGATTACCTGTAAATAAATATTAATGGAATAGCAATAAACCAGAGGTAAAACTGAGATTAAAAAAAAACTGCTAATGATCATATAACTCTGAACCAGTTAATGGAACAATATTCAAAAGAACCTGATCTTCTTTTCTTTTCTTTTCTTTTCTTTTCTTTTCTTTTCTTTTCTTTTCTTTTCTTTTTTTTTCTTTTCTTTTCTTTTCTTTTCTTTTTTCTTTTCTTTTCTTTTCTTTTCTTTTCTTTTCTTTTCTTTTCTTCTCTTCTCTTCTCTTCTCTTCTCTTCTCTTCTCTTCTCTTCTTTTCTTTCTTCTTTCTCTCTCTCTCTTTCCCTTCCTTCCTTCCCTCCCTCCATCCAGGGGTGAAATCCAATTTTTTTCCCTACTGGTTCTGTGGGTGTGGCTTGGCGGGCTTGGCAGGGGAAGGATACTGCAAAATCTCCATTCCTTCCCCTTCTGGGGGAAGGATATTGCAAAATCT